AATATTTTTGTCATTTTTGGTAAAAAGGGATATTTTCGACTTCTTGTTAAAAACCGCAAGTCCAATTGCTTTGATATTTACATATATAGGTACTACATGTGGACCTCTCTCAGACATGTTCATTTTGTGATGATATCTTTAATTCTCTAATTTTAGTGAATATTTTTGTCATTTTTGGTAAAAAGTGATATTTTTGACTTCTTGTTGAAAAGCGCAAGTCTGATTGCTTTTATATTACATATATACATACTACGTGTGGACCTCTCTCAGATTTGTCCCGTTGCTTTTTATATATATATTGTTCATTTTCTATTGATATCTTCAGTTCTTTAATTGTAATGTGCATTGCTAACAGCGGAGCTATCTCAGCCAAGAGGCTGCTTGTTAATCAATCTGATTAAATTTTATACCAATAGAAGCTCTGTTCCCTTATAATTCCAGACTCATTGCACTCATGTGTACATTGCCTTCAACTACATCTGACAAAATGTCTATTTAAATCATTTCCTGGTGCTCCTTTCTGACCTATTTTGACCAATGGGAGCATACCTTACTAGAAAGCAACTTGTGAAATGAGCTCTGACAAGAAACTGAAAATTATTTGAATGATCATTTGGTCTGTTAATTAAAAGTAATAACACAGATTAAAGATATAGCAGACAGATATATATATATGGGTTTGTAGCTGAATTTTAGTAACATATTTTTCTGGGGTACTAAAGCCCACTAGAGAATACAGGCAACTGTGGTGTTTTCTTTGATGCAATGTTTCTTTGGTTGCAAATGTGATTTTGAACAAGATTTTTGAGTATTCCAAGACGAGTTACATCACAAACATACAAAATCCAAGAAAAATAATCTCAAAAGAAAAAGATGGCTACACAACACATGAGCTGTAGTAATATTTGATATAGCTTGTCTTCAAATGGGATAGGTTCCTTAAAATTACTGGAAAAAGTGTGATATTTTGGTTGAGGACTTGTTGCATGCACCCAGATGGTTGTGTATGTCATGATGCACACAAAGACATTGCATAGGATGTTATTCTCGTCTCTTTGATGTTTGATGCAGTTGCCTATCCCTGTATACCTTTGTACGTGTATGTCATGATGCACACAAAGACATTGCATAGGATGTTATTCTCGTCTCTTTGATGTTTTATGCAGTTGCCTGTCCCTGTATACCTTTGTGTATTGCCAAAACCTAATGTTTTTATAAATTTTGAATTACTAATTTACCTCACTGTAAATATATAGCCTCATTCTCTGTTTATTACGTTGTTTTTCTACTAGAAACACTTAGACACTAGAGATCTCAATTTGAGGGAAGCTGAAAACCGACATTTTATCCTCCAGGTGAGTGAGTCTCTTGATTTTGTTTCGAGATAAACAAAAATAGAAAATGTACTTCCAGATGAAACAGATCACAAAAGTCATTGACATTGACATTCCAACTGACATGTTCTAATCACATCTCAATCATATAAGTCTATATATAAATATAGAATTTAAGTTCATAGTTTATTGATGACCAACTTTTGTATATTTTCGTAGATTGCTTTGAAGTGTGCTGATATTTGCAATCCTTGTCGGGCATGGGAAACTAGCAGAAAATGGAGTCAACGAGTATGCGAGGAATTCTTTCAACAAGGTCATTTTTTTGTAATTTTCTTCTAATAACTCCATGTTGTAAATACAGCTGGCAACAGACCTTTCTTTTAAATTGCGCCCTCTATTGACAAAGCACTCAGTCCATTAAAATCATTCCTATCATTTTAGATCTGTAGTCACCCATCAATGAAGATTTTAGATCTGTAGTCACCCATCAATGAAGATTTTAGATCTGTAGTCACCCATCAATGAAGATTTTAGATCTGTAGTCACCCATCAATGAAGATTTTAGATCTGTAGTCACCCATCAATGAAGATTTTAGATCTGTAGTCACCCATCAATGAAGATTTTAGATCTGTAGTCGCCCATCAATGAAGATTTTAGATCTGTAGTCGCCCATAAATGAAGATTTTAGATCTGGAGTCGCCCATCAATGAAGATTTTAGATCTGTAGTCGCCCATCAATGAAGATTTTCAATCTGTAGTCGCCCATCAATGAAGATTTTGATCTGTAGTCGCCCATCAATGAAGATTTTGATCTGTAGTCGCCCACCAATGAAGATTTTGATCTGTAGTCACCCATCAATGAAGATTTTAGATCTGTACAGTAGTCACCCATCAATGAACATTTTAGATCTGTAGTCTCCCATCAATGAAGATTTTAGATCTGTAGTCACCCATCAATGAAGATTTTAGATCTGTAGTCGCCCATCAATGAAGATTTTAGATTTGTAGTCGCCCATCAATGAAGATTTTAGATCTGTAGTTGCCCATCAATGAAGATTTTAGATCTGTAGTCGCCCATCAATGA